ATAAAGAATAATGAAGCTTTTTAGCATGGCTATTCCCGAATCTCTGTAGTCTTTGTGGCCGATGCACTGATGCAAAATGCTCCCTGTGATGACGGCTGTCTGCCTCACAAGGGACTTTACAGAATGGGCACTGCTTCCCACAGCCAAACACTCGTTTAAAGATTTCATCCTGGGGCTTCACTGACAGACTGGAGAATTTAGACTCAACTTCCAAATCTTGAAATTCAGCTAAGATTTGCTGTTCTAGATCAGGAAGGAAGGACTGAATACAAGCAAAGAAACTCCCAGTGTCTGTTGTGTTGAGAGCCCATACACCCACTAAACTGTAACTGGGGATGACTAGGTCCTTCTGTATCATCTCACAAAAATGGAATAAAAATGCACAGACTGTTCTAGTCTTTTTATCTTTGGTCATTTCCAGTGCGTCCCTGATTTTCTTTATTATTGTGGACAGAATCTCTTTCTCCAAATCTTGCAAGCCCTCCGACTGGTAGTAGTTATCTAACAGACATCTCCATGTCCAGGATTTCACAATTTTTTCATAGTTATTAATGTATTCTACATAGTTGTCAAAGTTCATCTCCTCCAGCAGCTTCTTCTGCACTGTGAAGTGGAAGACACTCCGGCTGCGGTATTCAGTGGACTTCCCCCTGCTGAGAAAGTCATCCACTATTTCCATTCCAAGTCTGTTATTAACATAATCTTTCAGGGCAGGTTTCAGACACCGATCACAGAAATCCTGGACCCTGTTTTCACAGGAATCCGTCTCCAAATAAAGATATTTAAATATGGAGAGATACTGAGGTTTCAGCTGTTCCACATGTTGCTGAGGATAATTTCCTTTGATAAAATCTTTATTCATCTTCTGAAATGCATAAGCCGCCTTCCACAAAATGTGAAATTTCAGGTCAGTTTCAAAGGAAAGGGTAGTGGGAAGTTTCCGAACATCCTCCTCTTGGAGCCTCTTATTAACCATATTCAGCAGTTCTCTGAAGTAGGTTTCATCGTAGCCTGCTTTGGACCTTACTTTTGCTTCAGTGTAACTGAAGAAGTGGGCTGTAGTCCACGAAAGCTTATGCTCTAATAAATTTGTTAGTCTCTAAGGTGCCACAAGTACTCCTGTTCTTTTAGTGTAACTAATGCACTTGGCCATTAAGGATTTAGCCAGTACTTCTAGTCTATGATAGCATTCCTGTGTAAACCATGGAATCAGAGCTTTAAAACATGGCAAGTCTAAGTACTGCTGTTTCATTGGGAATGACTTGGTTTCACAACTCAACAAGGTTTTCATGGTTACGGATGCCAAAGTATCAACAGTTGCTCCATTACTCAGATCCTTTGCGAGTTGGAACATCATCTCCTGAGTTATGGCACATTCCTGTGAAAATGCAAACGGTAACTCTGATAAAGTTTTTCTCCACATTATTTCAAATTCACTCTCCAGTTCCCTATTGTCTAATTTCTGTTGTCTTCTCCTGCAGTCTCTCCCGAGTCTGTCTAGATTCTCTTCAATGGTTTTCATGTACTCCAACTTTAGAAACCCTACCTTGAGCCAGTATTTTCTAATATAAATGGATTCCTCCAACTTGTTTATTGCATAATGTTCAAGTTCCTGCCTGAGGCTGCTTGTGCGCCTGATAAAGTCTTCTTTGTATTTTTCCATCAGGTGTTCCTCTCCAATGTCAAAATATTTTCCTAAACAATCCAAAATATTCTGTTCAGCAAATACAAGATGGTCCTGAACATTACATTGTAAGATACCAAAATCCACTTTATCTGGTGTCTGACTTTGAATAATATTTGCCATTGAAGTTACCCAGAAAATCATCAGCTCACGGAGTTTCAATTCCCACTCTTCAAACTTACCAGACATTTGGCTATAGGCCTCAGCAACAAGGCTCTTTTTAAAGCTGAAGATGAAGTTCTCATGTTTCACTGCATTCCACAGGCTCCTCACCCATTTAATAAAGTGGGGAATGTCCTTACGGGGGCTGCTCAGTGAATAGTTCCTTATAAGTTTAAACAAATACTTCTTTAGTTTGCATACACTCTCACTGTATCCTATATTCACTGGTGCCATGGGACTCCATGCCATAGCCCAGGGATGTACCACTTGTATTTCTGTGGATCATAGTCCATGATGTCAGAAATTTTAATTTCCCTGCATTGTTTTTCCATCCTTCCTGCAGCTTTGGTAATTTCATTTAGCTGCCCCAGGATACGGTTCATATCCCTAGTATTTTGTTCATGTGCAGACACATCTTTGATGTTCTGATGCACAAACTGGCAGTAAGGTTTGTGCCTGACTTCCCTCATTCTGAGAAATGTGTGGACCACAATTTGCAGAATATGTTGCATTTCAGTGGCGTTCGACATGGCCATGTTAATAATTGTTATGCCACTCAGTCCAATCACCAGTGTGGCCAGCTCATTGTCATGTTCATAACTATCCTCCAGTGTGGGCATTTCAGGGGCTTTCAAGCCTTCTGTCTCTCTCACCAGGATGAAATCACAGCCCAGCTCCTGCTGAAAGTTCTCTGCAACTTTAACAAATGACACGAAGGCTCCTCGGGTACATCGGCCACTGCTCACTTCAAACTGCAGGCCGAACATGGTGTTGAGGAGGGTGGATTTCCCAGTGCTTTGCATGCCCAGCACTGTTAGAACCACCATTCTGGACCTTCCCCCCACCTTGGCATGGAGCTGAGTCAGAACATCTGTCACCCACTGCAGTGGGATGTTGGATGAATCTCCATCTATCAGCTCAAGAGGAAACCCTTCCAGCATCAGGTCAGCAGCTATATCTGGGAGATGGATGAATCGCCTTTGCCAATTTGCTTTTATTCCTTCTTTGACCTTTGTGCATTCTGTCTCATAAAACTGCCCCAACTCACGCATGAAATGCTCTACCCGTAAGGATCTGGCAGAGAATAATTCATCTAGTTCTGATAAACATTGCCTCCAGTTTTATATTTCTCTTTATATTTATTTTCCATTAGAGAGAGTTTTTTATTCCCCCTACTAATGTTCTCCAGATTAAATCTCATCCATTTTAGGAAGCTGTGGACTTCCACTTTCGAAAGTTTTTCTATTCCAGTAATACATTTCATGGTACCAACACTGATATCACATTGATTCCATTGCGCTTGTAACTCTAACACTTTCTCACGCAGATGAGATTCCTGGGTCTCCGTGGATGCCTCCCTATTCATTCTACACAGCTTCTTTTCTAATTTAACCCCCGTTTTCCAAATGTCCCCTTGCAGTCTCAGCATTTCCCTCTTGTACTTTGCCACATCTTGTATTTCTGCAGTGATTTCTTTAGCCCAGTTGCTTGTGCTCTGACATTGTTCATCAACTTCATCTACCTGGATTCCTAGTTTACGTGCCGTCACAGCCATGGCTGCAATACTGATACTCTTGTTAGGAGACATCGTTAGGATGCCTATGGTGGACTGAAGCTTCTTTTCAAGCTGCATGTTAGTTCTGGTGTTCACATTCTCCAGCACATGGGATTTGTCCAGTTTTAAGACAGGAGCCAACTTTGCAAGTTCTTCAAGTGACTCACTGTGTTTGTCCGCCAGGGCACTGAGGATGAAGTAGTATTTAGTGGCTGATCCCTGCAGAGATGATAAGAGCGTGTATTGTCTCTCGTTGATGCTCTCAGTAACAATGAACACTGCTGAGGAGACCACTGTTAAAAAGCTAAATTGCAGCCAGTGAGACTCAATGTCTCCGCGCAGGTTTGTAATTGAGATGGGCTCTGGGAAAAGATCTGAATTCTCCCTCCCAGCAGGGAAATACCAGGAAATCTCGACCAGCCCATCTGCGATTTCCCGAGGGACGTTCCCAGACTCCATGTCCCGATGGATGAAGAAATCGTGGTGCTGCTGGGAGGGGCTGAGAACCTCATTGAGGAGTTTGGACTTGGAGAAGCTGCAGCTCCCCATCCGCACAAAGGAAATAGTTGGCACGGACATGAGCACCAGGCTCTCCTCTCTGAACCCTCTGCTCTCTGCCAGGGAGTGCGGCCTCCACTTCCTCACAATGTCCCTCACGGCCCACAGCATTAGGATGCACCTGGGGGTGTCGAGGGCAGGTAGCAGCAGAGGGAGGGCAAACTGGCACATGGACATTCTGGACAGGATCTCCTGCTGTAGGAAACTGTCTGAGCAAAGCAGAACTGCACAGAGAACATCGAGGGGGTTCAGAGAATCAGTAGTGCCAGGGTCACTACGTTGGAAAATATTGTCCCCACTATCCAGCTCCTCCTCATCCTCACTGATTCCTTCATCTGGTGCCTGATGCCCAAGACTTGTGTTTCTGGCCATCCCACTCAGAGCCATGAGCTTCCTCAGGAAATGCCATGGTAAATCTCCTAATGTGTGGGGAGCCCAGATCTGTACACTCTCTGTGCTGATTTCCTGGAGATTGTTCAGCCTGAGCTTCCTGCTTCTGTGCCGCTCCAGGTTTAGCTTGGCCAGGATGTCATGAAATGCTCTTCTTTCTGCAGGAAGGGAGTAAAACAGAAGGAGAGATTTCAGGGTTGATGTCATCTCAAAATCAAATTTGCAGCCTTTTTTTACTATGTAATTTTTTTCTTTGAGATTGGGGCAGTATTGCAGAACCATGGACATTTATGACAGCAAAGATGCATAGTCTAGTATTTCTCTGAACCTCAGCCCTTCCCCTAGCCAAGCAGAATTGTTCCCTCCTAGTCTTAACTTCATTGACATCAGCAGGATCATTCTGGATTTACACTGGGGTCACTGTGAGCCGAATCCAGCCCTACTTCCACTGACATGAGTGTGGTTGGTCTGGATTTTTGTAGTGGGATCACCAGGATCATAATCTGGCCCTTACTCCTCTGATTCCAGTGGAGTTGCTCCAGACGTACAGCAGGACACATGTCCCATAGAGGAGAATGAAGGCACGAGGTATCTGAACTACAACTCCCATGAAGCTCTGCATCACCTTAGTCAGATGCAGTGTAATGTCAAACTGGCTCAATGCAAAACAATTCGCCATTTCAGAATGGAAATTTGTTTAGAATTTTTCATTTAATGAAAAAATGCAATATTTTTACTTTTCATACTGATTCGGGACAAAAAAAGAATGTCAAAATATTGGGATTTCTCATGGGATGGAATGTGTAATTTTCTACCATATCTGTCCCTTAGCTCCATAATTTATGAGCACTTAATATTTTTATTTATATTTAAAAAATAGTTAACATTACAGCTTTAAGGACAACACAAATTCAGCTATCATCTCTACGCTTACGACTCACAGATCTACTTCTCTACTCCAGACCTGTCTCCTGTAGAAACTAAAATCCAGGCCTCTCTCTCTGTCCCCACCTTGTGGATGTCTAGTCATCAGCTCAAGCTCAACATGGCTAAAACAGAGCTCTCAATCTCCCCTCTGCCCTCCCTGCTAGCATTCTCAATCACTGTGGACAACACCACCACTCACTCAGGCCTGTAACCTGACCTGTTAATGCCAATCTATATAAATTATAGCATAACCCAGTTGAACAGAAATGGCTCACTGCCGCCATCTAGTGACTAAACCAAACGTAGTGTTTAAGTCTCCTACTATCTTTGCGTTTTACTAGGTTTGCTCTTTTAGCTCAGGCAGTAGAGGCTTATGCTGTTAGAGCCAGAGGTTATGGCAGGGGTGGCCAACCTGAGACTGAGAAGGAGCCAGAATTTACCAACGTACATTGCCAAAGAGCCACAGTAATACGGCAGCAGCCCCGCATCAGCTCCCCCTCCCCACGCCTCCCACCCACCGGCAGCCTCGCCAATCAGCGCCTCCCCCTCCTTCCCTGCACCTCCCGATCAGCTGTTTTGTGGCATGCAGGAGGCTCGGGGTGGGGGGAAGGAGGGAGGAGCGAGGGCACATCAGGTTCAGGGGAGGGGGTGGGAAAGGGTGGAGTGGGGGCAGGGCCTGTGGCAGAGCCGGGGTTGAGCAGTGAGCATCCCCCAGCACACTGGAAAGTTGGCGCCTGTAGCTCCGGCCCCGGAGTCAGTGCCTATACAAGGAGTCTCATATTAACTTCAGAAGAGCCACATGTGGCTCCGGAGCCGCAGGTTGACCAATAACCTTGACTGATGACTAATCTAGGGATATCATGTTCCACTATGTAATATTGTCTCTCTCCCTGTTTCTAATACTAATAATTATACCTAGTTCTCATCTAATGCTTTTTATCAGTAAATCTCAAAGTGCCTCATAAAGGAGATCAGTATCATCATCCCCATTTTATAGATGTGGAAACTGAGGCACAAGATGGTGAAGTGACTTGTCCAAAGTTACCTAGCAGCCCAAGCTGGGCATACTGACAGGTATAATTTGCACAAAGAAGAAAGATCACTTCTTAATAAAACCTGCCAACCTGCTAGCTGGGGAGGGGGAGAGACTTCAGGAGCGAATTGCTTATGTATCTAGCAGATAGAACTGCCTTGCTCAAATTGATCAACTTTGGCTGGTGCTGGGTTACAAATCACTTTAGTACTGAATGGAGGGGTAGTGAAATGTTGTTATCAACGTTGTTGTCTTTATTGTATGAGTAAAGGGGAGCAGAACTGTGCTCAGCCTGTCCTGAGTGAGGGGTCACCCTCAGCTGAAAGGAACTCACTAAGCCAGGGGCTCAAATGCCAGACCCCTGTGAGAGTAAAAGGGGTGGGGACAGGTGTCCCAGACAGGAGGTGTGGTCTCTGCCCAAGGGTCCCCCAGTCTGGTTTAACCTGTTCCTCCCCCCTGTTCAATGATAGAGCTAGATAGGCTCTATTAGGAGTTTTTTGTTTTGTTAAGTGTTCACTAGAGCTGAAATCACTGCGGGGGGCAGCATTTCTGCCCAGCCT